TAGATCTTTAACCTATTAGAAGTGATTCTGTTTGGTGTGAAGTAGGATGCTAACTTTCTACAAGTGGACAATAGCCAGGGTGCCAACACAATTTTTAAATAATCTATCCTTTTTCTACTAATTTGAATGATGTCTTTATCATATACTAAATTTCTGTATGGGTCTGTTTCTAGACTCTCTTCTGTGCTGTTGACTTATTTAGCATACCCCTAAAGCCATATGAAAAGAGATTTAATCTCTAGATCCTTCAGAAAATACTTTCTGTCCCAGATATACCACCTCCAAGCTGGTGTGACACCTGGCGAATGTTCTGTGGTCTTCTCCAAATCCGAGCTCCCCATAAACCACTACTTCTTTGAGTGTGCAGCCCACCCGGGTCACTTAGGCCTGTGGCTTATTCCTGAGAGGGGACATCTGGATGGGCTCAGAGGGGATTAATACCCAGAGAAAAGGTGACCCGTTAGTCTTAGCCTTCACCTAAGTGTGTGGTTTACTTCACGGTGGATGTCTAGCTAGTTGGCTGGAGTTGCCAGTCTTGTGAAAAACCTCAGCCCTCGCTCTGTCGTCAGAGGGAAGGAACGTAGGAGGACCTGGCTGGCCTTTCCATTGCATGAGCGGCCTCACCAGCGTAGAGAGTGGTTTTGCTCAAAGACAAATGTTGTGGGTTTCTCTCAAGACACTTAGTTTTTTGTTTGGGCCTTTAGGGATCAGCCTTAATACTTTAATGTAGAATTTAGATTTTGGCTTGTATGGCTTCAAGAACTAAAATAAAATTTGTCTTCCTTTAATACCTTGAATTCTTATTTGAAAAGAGCCATATTTGCAAGTTCATATTGCCCCTGACATTACATACAGTATTTTATTACAAAACTGAACATGATACTTTCCTGATACATTTTGTCTAAGGCTGACTTAGATAATTTGATAGCTTACTGTAAACTTCATAGAAAGTGACTTTTAATTGTAAAACAACTATTAACTTGTAAATCATGTTCTCCTATTGACATCATTTTAATCTATCAGCTAATAGAAATTATTATGCCATTTTTTACTTTTAATATTTCAGAAAAATATGCCCAAATTCAACAAAATTCCTTTCTACCTCCAACCTCATGCATCTTCAGGAGCAAAAACCTTAAAAAAGTAAGTAAATGTACTGTCATGTGATGCTTTTACCTAATTAATTACCAGACAGGTTTTTTATTTCTTATTATTGCTTTTATAGCAAAGGAGGCAAGGACTGGATGTAAGCCTAGTTTTATAATATCACTTTATACAGTTTAACCATTTAAAAGTACCTGCTGTGGTAAGCTACAGACGTTCAAAACTAAGACATGGATTTTGTCTCCTGCCATAATCTGTGCCCTACACTCTCCGATGGGAGAGTGACGGTGACCTCACCCTCCATTACTGACAGAAGTCCAGGTGAGGGGCGGGTGACTGCTCCTGTGTATCCATGACAACTGCTTTTATGGATACAAAGAAATCATGAGCGTAGGGGAAAGAAATGAATTTTTGGAGCTTTCTAGAAAGGCTTCTCGCAGGACATGGAATTTGAGCTAGATATATAAGGCTGGATAGAATCCAGAGATATCCCAGGTGCAGGAGATGGTTTGATCAGGGATGTGGAAGTGGGAGCATGCGCAAGAACTGGAAACTAGCGAGGACCTCTGAGCTGCAGCCTAGGATGTGGGGGTGGTGGGAAAATACGAGAGAAGTTGGAGAAGAAATTCATTGGTGCATATCCTAGCAAATGAAACCCACAAGACTTTAAAACCTTTTGTTGAAGAATATTCCCAAACATACACAAAACAAAGAACAGGAGAAGGAACCCCCATTATCCCATCCACAGCTTCCAGTCATTCTCCACACACAGCCACACTTTGCTTCATCTGCTACTTCCTCCTACCCTCCCCCCACCCGCCTGCACTCACACGGGAGCAAGTCTGAGATCTCACTTCACTGGATGTAGTGACCGTCAACTCAAGGTGCTTTCAAAGTTTGAGCCTGAGCCTACTTGGTTCGATCGTTAACTGACATCAGAGAAACTGGAGTAGGTGTGGGTGTGAGGCAGTGGATGAATCTAGATTTGGACATGCAGAGTGTGAGGTTCCTGGGAACAGCCAACAGAAGATACCCAGTCAGCTCCTGGGCTGGTGGGTGTGGAGTGGGGGCAGGAGGTTGAGACTCAGGGTGTCAGCTGTAGGCAGACAGGCCCTGGGGGACTGGGCCTGGGAGCCCGGGCCGCCTTCCGCTCCGGTGCAGCAGCACCAGGGCTTACAGGGCACCACGGGATCGGTTGGCAATTCTACAAGTGGCGTAAAGCAATGACTAAAAAGTGTATTGGTTTATGTTTCTGTTTCTGGGGTATGTTTTCACCTTTATAAGATGTTAACACCAAAGAATATGGAAGAGATAATATCCAGTGACTTTTTGGTGTCTGCCCTTGCTTTTTCCAGAGATAGACTTTCTGCTAGCGACATGCTCCAAGTCCGGAAAGTAATGGAACATGTTTATGAGAAAATCATCAACTTGGATAATGAGTCTCAAACCACTAGCTCTTCTAATAATGAAAAACCTGGAGAACAGGAGAAAGAGGAGGACATCGCTGTGCTGGCAGAGGAGAAAATTGAGCTTCTATGCCAGGACCAGGCAAGTGGACTTGTGGACCAGAGCCCCACTTGGCCGGGGCCGGTGCTTGGACAGTGACATCACGGGGTCTGACTGTGGTTCCCACGTCTGTTGCCTCTGGGGGGGCTTCTGCTTTTAAAGAGGCTCCAAGGAGCTCTGGGTGTCTCCCAAGGACAGGACAGGGTCACCTTAATGTGCAGAGCAGACGGTTGTTAGTTTAGGATGTGGAGGTGGGTGGAGCTGTTTTAAATTAAGATGCACTGAAGGCCTTCTCAGCGATGGCTGGAGACGGTGTCCAGTGCCCAGGGTTGTGCCTGTATGCGTGGCAGTCAGGCCCACAAGAGCAGGCCACCCCGCGGTAGGGTGGGGGTGGAGAGGAGAGAGCACTCTGACCACCTGTGAGGGGCAGCAGTAAGGGCCTTAGCTCTCAGAGGCTTTGACATTTCTAATTTATGCTTTGCTGTTCAGGTTTTGGATCCAAACATGGACCTTCGGACAGTGAAACACTTCATATGGAAGAGCGGCGGTGACCTCACCCTCCATTACCGACAGAAGTCCACGTGAGGGGCGGGCGAGCGCTCCAGGGTACCCATTTCCTGACCTTCCTCTGGCCCCGAGAGCAGTCCTAGGAGCCCACTGAGCCCAGTGGGAGCCAGACTTCTCATGGCCGATTGGTATGGACAGATCCTCTCTCAACTGCAGTGACCAATGGAAATGTAACATAGAAACAGCCTCCCTGTGTAGAGTGAGCTGTCCCCAGGGAGGCAGAGTCCGAGAGCAGAGCCCCAGCCAACTGTCTCTCAAGGTGTACAGAGAACTGACTGGCCGGCGCAGGCCTGGCTTCCTCCTTTTACGTCAAAGGACCTGATCTTCGCTAGCACTTGTTAGAGACACTTCCTGTAGGGCCACACTGTCACCGTGTTTCCACTCCGCACACGCTGTGCAGCTTTTCTAAGAGGACATTCCATTCGTGCAGCACCTGTGAAGGCTTTCTCCACGTTTGTCATTAAAAACAAATTGTTTTCCCATTTAAGACAGTTATTTTTCATAGGAACTTGCTGTTGCACAATTCGAGAGCCAGCCCATTTCATAATAAACGACTAGTGTTGGGCTTGTTTCTACTCCTGCACCTCAGCTGTGTTCCTGTAGACGGATCAGTGGAACCGCCAAGGGCTGGGCATAGCGCCTGGACCGCTATGTCCCAGCAATGCCACATGACCCCAGTGCCCAGGACCGCCTGGCAGCCACAGGGTGGTGCAGCTTCCTCCTCCCTCCACTGTGTTCTTTATTTACGGGCAGTGCCGGGTGGCACCAGAGGCACTTGCTCTGATGAGCAGCAAGGCACCATCAGAACTGCAGACCGTGGTGAAATTTTAACTTCGTTTAAAATGCTACCTAACGTGTACGGTGTCAGTGCAAGCATATCATGGGAGTCCATAGCCTGGAAATACACATATTGTTTCCCAGAGTTTTATACGCAGGTTTTTGTTGTTGTACCTATATCCAGATTGCTTTTCACTGTTCTTTCTAACAATCTAAAGCTTTCATAGAACCATTTGGATCTTGTACAGAATATAACTTATTGGGGATAAACACTTCAACTTTTGGCATAAAAACACTTTGGATTCTCCCCAAGGTCATTTGTATTCAGACTAGAGCAATGGTCTGCCCGGCCAGACTCTGTGAGACACGCCTCCTATGTGGAGCCAGAAGCACAAGTGCCTTCAGAGGCAGTTTCTTCCAGTCCAGGGGCCTCCCAGCTCATGTGCGGCGGAGCCCACAGTGGCGGGGCCTGGGGGTGGGGGGGGAGTTTCTTTCTACATCCTCACGGGCTCAGCTGAAGGCAGCCGACGGGCCTCGGTCCAGACCTTACTGTTGGAGGCGCTCGGATTCGCACAGCTGTAGGGACAGGCTCCCTCCCCGCGGGCAGCCTCCTCTGGGAAGCGGACAGGTCACTGCCGCTGGCTCTCGGACGACGTGAGCCCCTTCCACCGAGCCCCCCCCCCACGCAGAGCAGCCCACTTCTTTTGTACACAGCCCTTTCTATCCGTTGGATACAGCGGTGCACTTTTGCTGCACGTTTTTTAGCAATAGTCATGGATTCATGTCAGAAACACCACCAAGCTCATCGCCAGCCTGTTGTGTGCATGAGGGGCCCCTGGGCTAGAGGGATGGGTTTGCCGCGGGGCCTTCTGGCCCTGTTCCCGAACCCCGAGGGCGGCTGTGCTCCCTTCCTCCATAGACCTGACCCCGCATGGTTGTACTCTTTTCTTCCCGTCAAACCAGTAAGTTTCCAGAAAAGTTGACAGTCTGCAATGCCAAAAGGGTAAAAATCTGTATTTCACAGTTGTATAGAATAAAGGCTTTAGTTAAAATATTCAAAGCATAGTACATGTTTATTTTTTCACTTGTCATTTTCCTTCAGAGCAGATGAGAGAGAAATTGAGAAACCTGGTTTTTCTGTTTATCCTAGAAATAATTAGCATTGATACCACTCTATCCTCCAGCTTCAGAAGAGGCATGTGTAAAGCGAGGAAGAACCAGAACCCTCGGGGCCAGGCTGCAGCGCAGGATCCCTGCCCTAGGCCTGTTCTCCTTGCAGGTCTGCAGCAGCACTGGGCTCCCAGGCCGCCCAGGAGAGGCCCCGGCTGGCCTTGCACCCAGGCCTCCTGCTCGGCACGGACAGGCTCGCTGTCCCTGCGGCCAGAGTGCTAGACACTTAGTGTTCGCTAATTGGGGCCTCCCTCCATACACTCGGCTTGTGCTGCCTCCGGCTGATAGTCCGTGTGCTACAGCTAAAGGCTCTGAATTTCCTTGTACATGCGGACATCACAAATCAAGCAGCAGTGGGGGATGCAGAGTGGACAGACTAGAGGACAAGGCCAGAGGCAGCCTTCATGGTAAGCAGCAGGGAGTGTGGGAAGGCAAGGGGCTGTAGCCCGGGCATGTGAGGACCCCATCCCTGGGGGAGCCGTCCTCTTCCTGCTGACAGAGCGCAGACCCACGCGTGCCTCAGCCTCCCAAGGCACCCCCGCACACACGCTCCCCCAGACACGCTACAGGAAAGGACAGAAGGGCCCTGGCCTCTCACTTCCCCTTGTGGTGGGAGCTGTGTGTAAAGAGATCTAGTCAGGACTGGCTTTGAGAGTGTGCTGAGGGAGGTCAATCTAAATGTGTAACCTGTTCACCACTGGGGCTGGCTGGTGCCATGTGTATGCAGAAGAGATTGTTGTGTAAGTCTGGGGATACTAGGTCTGTGGGGAGTCAGCCCTGGGGAAGAAGGAATATCATGATCTAAGCACAGGTAAGTGTCTGCGGAAGGTTCCAGAATTTCCAACCCTCCTCTCCCATGAGAGGTGGGCAAGTTCCAGCTGTGACTGGCAGGTATCAGTCCGCCTGAGCCATCTACCATGTGGCACAGGGATGGGGGCACATGACAGAAGAGGCAGTAACTGGGGCTTCAAGGGTCCCCAGGGCTTGGGGTGCCTTCCAGTAGGAAGCGCTGGCTCGGCTGTGCAGGAAGCATCAAGGCAAGCTCTGCAAAGCTGTCAGGCAAACACCATACCGGCCCCTTCCCCCCCTCACCCCACTGCCACACCAGATCAGTCTAGACCCCGCTGCTTCCTGGGAGCAAGCACTGGGCCTCGGCGTACACAGCCAAGATGCCCTTCCCCAAGGCCCACGCCTCCCCTCCCCACCAGCAAGGCTCCGTGTGCCACCCGTGCAGCGAAGAAGCCTTTCCTCTCCTACCCCAGCTCCCACCACCCCAAAAGCATGTGCTTAAGATTCTCAAACAAGGGCTCCATTCCCCAAAGCCAGGACCACCACGCAGAGTGCTGGCAGGCCATCTCTTGGAAACCAGTAGGGTGAGTGGACACGAGCCCCCCACCTGCAGAAGTCCCTGCCCGTGACTCGGAGCCACAGCCTGAGCCGCCTCCCCACACCTGGACCTCAGGACGTGCCATCAGGGGCCTTGCCATTGCCCAGGGTGGTGTTCGGGGGTAGCGAGCTGGGCCTGGCTGGCTGCCTCGGCTTCCGCCCTGAGACCCGGACTTGCTGTGCTTGCCGGCTCCTCCTCGGCCTGAGCTTCGAGCAGCTCGGCAGACAGCCCGTCCTCTGGCGAGGCTGCGGAGGTGAGGCTGTCGGGAAGGGTCAGCTGGGGCAGGTGGTCCTGCTGGGCCTGGGCACCGGGGCTGTCCGGGAAGGAGACCTCAAACTCTGATCCAGACCACGTGGCCTCCCCTGAAACACACAGGACGGGGCTCAGGAGGCCTGCAGGGCCCGGGGGCAGAAACCTCACTGACCTCCAAACCTCACCCCAGACACTGAGGGGGAGGAGAGAGCCAGAGGACAAACCCCTGGACGTGGCTGGATTCCTCCCAAACGCCGGCCTCTGACCCACTGCGAAACGGGGCAGCCTTCCCAGAGGCCTCTGCAGGCGCCCGCCACTCACCGGCACGCTCGTGAGAGCCGCTGCTGGAGCAGACGTCCTCCAGCCCTGCAGCTGGCACGGCGGCGGAGGGCAGCTCGGGGAAGGAGGGCGGGCCGGGCCAGACGCTGGCACTGCTGTCCAAGAGGGCGATGCCCGACACGTCCAGGAAGCCTAGGGCACGGGGCACAGCTCTTCGCTAGCACAAGACCCTGCCTGCTGCAGGCTGGTGCCCTGGCTCACTCTGCCCCGTTCCTGGGGCATCTGCTCAGCCCGGGACTAATCTCAGCCTGTGGTGATGCCCTCACCCCAACCCAAAGGATCCCCTGCCCCCCAACTGCTTGTTTCTCAGGAAAGAAACGGGCCTGCCTGGCACTGGGCATCATGGGAGCAGCACAGTGGCAGAAGGACCAGGCCCTCCCTGCTCTGTCCCCAATTCGCTGTGACCTTGAGCAGGCCACCTCTCCCCCCCTGGACAGCACTCTCCCCGTCCGCACGCTCTTCGTGGTCACTTGCAACCACCCTGCCACGGGGCAGGGGTCAGTAGGTCTGAGGAAGGTTTTGGTGCCGTCGCCAAAGTCCAGGCCTGAGCCTGGGGCCCGTTGGGGCACCAGGGGTTGCGGGGGCCTAGCCTCCTTGCCGGGCCCGCTCGCTACCTGGGTCCATGACCCGCTGCACCGGAGGCGGCGGCTGCAGAGGCGTCTCCATGGGCCGGGGCGGTTCCCCACGGTCAGGCACAGCATAGCCGAGATGCCCGGGCCCGGGCAGCGGGCCCTCTAGGGAGGAGCCGGGAGCCTGCAGCAGGGCCTGGGGGAGCCGGGGAAGAAGAGGGCACAGGGAGAGGGCCGTTGGGACGGTGGGGTCCAGCTTCACCCCCAGCCCCCACGTGCCCCAGAAGCATTGCTCTGCCTGAAGGTCCCTCTCTGTGGGTGACGTGAAGTCAGACAGGGGCCTGGCTGGCCTCCCTGGCAGGGCCGACACGGAGAGGGAGCACTCCTGCCACTCCGCTGAGGAGCCCAGGTGCCCAGCGGGCTGCGCCCCGCCAATGACCCACATAAGAGAAAGGGCCTCCCTGAATCCCAGCTGCTCGGGAAGCAGCCCTCCCATGCCCCACAGATCCCCGGCACAGATCCCCGGCACTGGCCGTGCCTAAAGGCCAACAGCCATGAGGACAAGACCGGCACTCTGCTGGCTCTGGATGCCCAGCCTCTGGCCCGACCTGACCACAGACTCACTGAGGCCCGGGGCAAGGCTCCGCCCACCCGAGCCTGTTTCCCACTCATAACACATAAACGACGCTAGTGCCTTGCCACCACCCTCACCTCCCGACCTCAGGGGCAGGAGAACCAGAGCGGGTCCCATTGTCCTGGAACGGGCCCGCCTGCTCCCACTGGGTCCCACAAGCAAGGGCCCTAGGCCTCCAGAACCCTCTCTTCCTTCTGTCCACGGAAGCTCCCCTCATCCCCCAGCGGGCAGGTGTTCCCTACGTACCTCCAAGTAGTCACCCTGCCTGGAACCCATCTCAGGGCCAGGAGGGGCAGGTGAGTCCAGGGGGGTGGTTCCAGGTGGCAGGGCACCAGGTGATGGGATACCAGGTGGCAAGTTACCAGGTGGCAAGGCACCAGGTGGTGAGGAACCAGGTGGCGGGTTATCAGATGGCAGGGCACCAGGTGGTGGGGTACCAGGTGGCAGAGTACCAGGTGGTGAGGTACCAGGTGGTGGGGTGCCAGGTGGTGGGGCACCAGGTGGCTTCTTGTGGTAGCTGGGGGGCTGGATTGGGATCCGATGCAGATACCCGTAGCCGATACCACACCCCAGACTGCCGAAGTCCAGAAACATTCAATCCAGGAGCTGTCTCACAGCCTTTCCTATCTCTGCCCCCCACCCCCCCGCCACCCATCAATGGCAGGGAGGGGGCTAAAAGGATGCTCCCTGGTCCATGGTCAGCCTCGGGATCCCTAAACCAGGGCCCAGCCCTCTACCCCCCCAACCATGAGACTCTGGGGTCCATGCCCACCGGCCAGGCCCACCCAGGGCCCCACCAGGACCCCACCCTACAGCCCTCCGACCCCCGGAAGTACCTGCCCTCTCCACCCCAGGCCGCGTTGGGAGTTACGGACACCTCCCGGCAGGAGTCGGACTCGGAGTTATAAACCATCAGCTTCAAGGGCTTCCCCTCGTGGGACTCGATGAGAGTGAAGAAGTCCTCAGACTGGGACAAACACACAGGCCTGAGCCCCAGCCCCCGCGCTGGGACTGCAGGCACCTCTCGCGGACAGCACCCACATCTCCACACCCACTGGGGTCTGCGGAGGGCGGGGCCTCGGGTTCCTCACCTCCTGCAGGAGCTGGTCTGAGCCAATCACATAGTCTGTGTAGGGGCACAGGCCAGCAAGGGAGGCGGGCGAAGAGGGTTCCACATCCTGGGGAGAGAATGGAGAACCGTCACCTCACGACTGGAGCGGAGGAGGGGCCGGGAGCCGTCTCTCCGGGCAGTCTCCGTCCCCAGGCCAAGGCCTCCAGGCCAGACTCTCCCACCGTACCCCCCAATTCCCCTCGGTCCCCCAGGTCCACAGCCTGCCCAGCAGAGGGCAGTGCCGTGGCATGGCTCCCAGCACTGAGCTCTGACATCTGACCTGGGTTCAACTCCTGACTCCACCAACTGCTAGCTGGGTGACTGGACAAATACTGAACCACTGAGCCAGGTTCCCAACCATGAAAACCATGGCACGCAGTGCTTACTCACAGGGTTGCTGAGAAGATTTTAGAAATAATAGATGTAAAGAATGAAAACCACACTTTGGCCCACAGTAAGTGCCCAACTACATGGCCGTTAAGACCCCCTGGGTAGGGGATGGAGGCGAGGGCAGTGAGCAGGACTGGATATAAGGATACCCTCTCCTTAGAGAGGGGCCTTGAGACACGGGACCAGTCCCTGCCTCCTAAAGCAGTGGTCGGCAAACTGTGGCTCGTGAGCCACATGTGGCTCTTTGGCCCCTGGAGTGTGGCTCTTCCACAAAATACCACGGCCTGGCGAGTCTGTTTTAAAGAAGTGGCGTTAGAAGTTTAAAAATTTGGGCTCTCAAAAGGAATGCCAGTCGTCGTGCTGTTGATATTTGGCTCTGTGGACTAATGAGCTTGCCGACCACTGCCCTAGAGGAACACGCAGGGATTTCCACCATCGCCCCGTGGCACTAGTGGGCAAGCTGAGATAGGCCAAAAGGTTGAGAAGGCTCCCCGGGAAGTGGGTGAGCAACAGAGGAGGCTAGAAAACCAGCCAGTTTCCAACTCGGGGCACCCTCCTGTCACCAAGTTGCGGGACCAAGAACTTGGGCGCCATCAGTGGACACGCGTGTCACATGTGCACGGGTTGCTGTGACGGACACGAACAGCAAGGTCTGTGACAATTCCGTCACTGAGATTCACGAGGCTCAGACCCCAGGCACCAGCCCAGAGCCCAGGTGCTCTCAGAGGACCTGCCAGAAAAACACAGCAGCAGCAGCGTCCCGGCAGCACAACCACCCTCCACTAGATGGCAGCACCACCTCTCAAATCAGAAACCACGTAGAGAGGGGGGTTGTGGGAGGCGGGGGGGGGGGGGGGGGGGGGGGGGGGGGGGGGGGGCGCCTTTTTTCTGCCAAGGGCCATTCGGATATTTATACTATCACCCGAGGGCCACACAAAATTATCAACTTAAAAATCAGCCTGCTATATTCAGTCAAACATTGAATTAACTCACGGCTAATGCCTTGGCAGGGCCAGGCCAAACGATTTTGCAGGCCTTCTATGGCCCTCGGGCTGGAAGTTCCCCGCCCCTGGTCTAGAGTGTACAAAAGTGCCCAAAGTCATACGGCTAACAAGAAGCGAGGCACAACCGAAACCGGTTTGGCTCAGTGGGTAAAGCGTCGGCCTACGGACTGAAAGGTCCCGGGTTCGATTCCGGTCAAGGGCATGTACCTTGGTTGCGGGCACATCCCCAGTAGGTAGGGGGTGTGCAAGAGGCAGCTGATCAATGACTCTCTCTCACTGATGTTTCTAACTCTCTATCCCTCTCTCTTCCTCTCTGTAAAAAATTCAATAAATATATACATAAAATAAAAAAAAGAGGTGAGGCACCGCATGCAGGTAGAGAGCTGCCCTCTCTGGACACTGTGGTGAGTGAGACCGTGCCCTCAGGGAGTCCTCAAACAGTCCATCTGGCTCCAGGCCCTGTCCCAGTTGCCCCCACACCCTGCTCCCTCCCCCCAGGTGCCCCCCAAACGCCCTCATGTGTTCTGGCCCCACCACCTTCCCCTGCAGAGATTGGCCTGGGGCTTGAACGCCCCACTCATTGCTCCACACACACACACTCATCGCCCGCCCCACCCCCACCCCCACTCACCAGCACGTGCCACACGTGCTCGCTGGCCCTGTGGAAGCTGCAGAAGCGCACGCTGGCGCCCAGCAGGCCCGGGCCGCCCCACATGTTGCTGGGCACCACCTCCACCTCGCGCACCCGCATGGTCTTCATGTTGAACACCTCCAGCTTCACCGGCTTCTCCACGTTGGCCTTCAGCAGGTCCCGCAGCGTGTCCGTCTCCTTGTTCTAGGAAGGAAGGGGGCTCACGCCAAGGACCCCACACCCCGTCCGGCCGCTCAGACAAGCCTGGGTCTGAGGTGGGGCAAGGGCCTTGGTGGCCAGCTGCCCCAGCAGGGCCTGGTGTGGGATGACCACACACCCCCACACACTCACTCCCATCCCACCCCACCCCACACCCCCCACAAGTAGTGCTAAATCTGCCTCCCTCCGCTCCCCCTCTGCCCCAGAGAGCACAAACTCATCACAGAGCCTCCTGGCTCAGGCCACTGCAGGCTGTCCCACTGTGAGCTGCCCCTTGGCCAGAGCCCTCACATCTCTCATGCCCCCAGAGGCAGGCCCCTTAGGCCTGTGGCCCCCTCCAAGCGTCCATTAGCCTCCAGTCCACCCCAGAGAGCTCAGGAGCTGAGCTGGGCAAGGCCTCCCTCCAGAAGAGAAGGGAGGCAGGAGCTGGGCTGGAGCCTCCTTTGGGACATACAAGACACACACACACACACACACACACACACACAAACACACGCATGCACGCATGCACACGCACACACACACGCGCGCACCCACACACACAGCAAAGCTCACCAGCCTCGAGTGCCCGATGGTGATGATGAAGTCAAAGTAGGGCTCCAGGCCCGCCTGCTGGGCGGGGGAGTTCTCCTGCACCTGTGCCAGGGCAGAGGCTGATCACTGAGCCTGCCCCGGGACTTCCAAGAAGCCCCAGCCCTCAATGTCAGACACCACCCCCACCCCCACCGCCACCCCCCACCCCCATGTCCCAGCGGGGAATCGGGCGCTGGAATGAACTGTTCCGGGCAGGCCACCCGTGGGCACGGTTAAGGTGACCTCCCTCCTCCCTCACCACCTTCCCGGGCACACATTATTCCTCTTTAGGAAAACAGCTCTTCCCTGACCATGATCCACAGACCACGCTCCCAGCGATGCCTCGTGGGAGAGCCCAGGGCAGTCCTGGGGGTGTCAGGAGGCCCCACGGAGCAGGGTGGCGCAGGCCCACAGGGAACGCCAGGAGGGCTTCCCACAGAGGCTAAGATGTGCACAGGAAGGGAGGGCCCTTCGTTCGGCAGCGGGCAGGGCCCCGTGATGGAGAGAACCAGGGCTGTGGGCAGAGAGAGGTGGCGGGGAAGGCAGGCAGCCTGTGGCCGGAGGGCCCGGACCCTGTGCTGACAGATCCCCGGTCAGCCCAGCAGGTAAGGGGAGCTGCTGGGGAGAGCAGACCGCAGGGCAGGAAGGAGCCCAAGCCCTGGAGCCTGGTGAGCAGCGCCAAGCCCCCGCCTCCTCACAATTCTGCCTCCGCTCCAGTGCAGGACACAGGAGTCATCCTGGCCCAAGGGTGCTCCCTCCCCGCCCTGGACTCCCAGCGTCACCCATCGCCCAAAGCACAGCACCGTAGCTACAGCCCCGTTCCCTCTCAAAAGCCCCATTTACAGAACTTCGTCCACACAACGCGGCCGTTTTCTCCCGCCCAGGCCCAGCCCGAAGGTGACCTCCACTCCCCATCGCCCCCCTACCCACCCCCGGGCCTTCTGTGTCCTCACTCGCCGCCCTGATGACCAGGCATCTGCCAGGCCCCAGCCCAGAGGGCACGGGGCTCCTGTGGCCTCTGGTTCTGGCACCCCTGCCCGGGGAAGGCCCTGTGGCTGCTGCCACCCACCAGCCCCTCCAGCCGTGGATACGCCAAGCCCGTGGTCGGCAAACTGCGGCTCGAGAGCCACATGCGGCTCTTTGGCCCCTGGAGTGTGGCTCTTCCACAGAATACCAAGGCCTGGGCGAGTCTATGTTGAAGAAGTGGTGTTAGAAGACGTTTGAGTTCTAAAATCTTGGCTCTCCAAAGAAATGTCCATCGTTGTATACTGTTGGTATTTGGCCCTGCGGACTAATGAGTTTGCCGACCACTCCCCCGAGCTGACCTGACAGAGAGCTCAGCACTGAGTTTTCGATACAAAGTCCCTGCAGAAGCTGCGGTGGCTTCCAAATAGAGGATCCCCTACAGCACATGTGTCAAACACAAGGCCCGAGGGCCAAATCCGTCCCACCAGGCCTTGCAATGTGGCCCGCACCGCGCTGTCATCACTGCACTCCGCTGCGTTTCCATCACAATGACAGTTTATGACTGTTCAGTAAACCATTCGGCCCGCGATTTAGGCTGGATTTTAGATTTTGGCCCCTTCTCTGATTGAGTTCGACACCCCTACTTTAGGGGAAACCCAAAGGACAATTCATCAGAGAGAGCTTGGAAGAGGCGCTCCTCCCCACTCGATGGCACCCCACCTCCCTCTGGTAAGACCCTGCTGCTAAAGCCAGGCCACCTGGCACCTGCCCACGACTGCTGCCCTCCACCATGGAGGAGGTCCCGAGGCTCAGGCCCCCGGTCTCCAGGCCCAGCCCCCTCCCAGCCACCCAGACCCTCTGCCTATCCTCTCTCCTGTGGCCTTGTGCCTGGGCCTGGTCACTGACCACTATGGCTCTCCAGAGGAAATGGTCTGCACTGCTGCCCAGCACACCCCCACCGCGCCCCCACTCCGGCAGCAAGCATGGCCCTCTGACTGGCTTTCCCTTGGGGGGATCCCATCACGTCCAGTCCCCTCACCCTCACCCACGCACCCACAGAGCCTTCCATCACAACACAGAGACCATGCAACAGGCGGGCACACCAACCTGACAAGCTTGCACCGCTCTCCGCAGCCATGCATGCTGCACAAGGAAACGGAGTCCTTCCCCGGTGAGTCGGAGCTTTCTCTGCCCCCACCCCCACCGTGGTCTGCTCACCTCCGTTACCACCCCTCCTTCTCTACAGAACAAATCTCCACCCCAGTTCCCCACGGGGCTACGGGACCCTCCCGACCCGCCGCGATCTTTCGCCCTGGGACCCTCCCCTGCTGCAAACGCTGTCCCCGCGCCTGCAGCGTCTGCAGCGGGTCCTTCCGCTCCCTCTTCCCCTGGCTGGTCAGCACTGGCCCTCGGGCTCCAGAAGCCTTTCCGATCCCCTGACGGGCGGCGTGTAGGCCCGCCAGCCCCTGGCAGCTGTCGTCCATGTCCATCTGGTTTTCCCGACCCGCGGACTCAAGAGCCGGGACCGGGTTCCAGGAGCAGCACGGGGCGCGGCACCCAGCGGGCAATCACACGTGTGATCCGCGTGTACCGACGGGTCCCGACGACGCCTGGAGCTGCTGCAACATTCGCCCGGGAGCAGGGCTATTCCTGGCGGCCCGAGCGGACCAGGAAGCGCTCCGCTTCCTGCACAGCTGGCACCGGGGCGGGCGCCGGGGCTGGCACCGGGGCGGGCCGGGCCCACCGCGGCCGCAGACCGGCCGGGACCAGGAGGGCCGGGGGCCGCCTCCCGCGGGCCGCTCCCCTCGGCAAGGGGGCCTCCCCCTCCCTCCACCCGGGCGGCCGCACGAGGGGCCGGGCCCCCGCCTCCGCCGCCGCCCCGGGGCCGGCGCTCAGGCGTCCGGGCGCATCGGTCCGGGTGGACGCCCGGCCCCGGCCGCCGGCGCCGGGAGCCACTCACCCCGTGCAGGTGGAAGCCCTCGGAGGTCTCCGCCGGCTGCTCGGTGCTGGAGCCCAGCCCCATGGCAGCGGGCGGCCCGGCTCCGGCGCCAGCGGCCCCGAACGCAGCGCGGATCCCGTGCCACCGGCGCCCACTCGCCCGCTCGGCGCTCAATTACCAGCGCCTGGTCACGTGGACGGAGCGCCACGCCCACCCCGGTTCTGACGCGCCTAGCAACCGCCGGCGGCGCCGTCTCCAAGGACGCGCGCGCCTCCAGCGGCGGGCGGTTAGCGGCGCGCCCAGGACCCCGATTCCGGGAATCAATCGGCCCCGCTCCGCGCCGCCAGGCCCGGACTCCGAGCCGTTAGCGAGCGGAGATGAACAGCAATGACTCCTCCCTGATGGTGCGTGGCCCGGGCGCCGCCGGCCGCTCCCTTGGGGACTCTCCTCCCGGTGACCCCCGAGCCCTGCCGCTCTCCTGCCATCTCTCGACCCGCTCCTGCCATCCCCTTGACCCGCGCTTCGCTGTCTCCCGCTGCTCCTGGGGGTCCTGGCCCTTTCTCTCGCTTCACTGTCCCTGGCGAGGGCGGCATCCCCTCTGGTGCTTTCTGTGCAAATCAGAAATCATTGATGTTTCCCCATCAATCCCCACCCAGTCCTGTCCCCAGGCTCCCCCAAACCAGCGCACCCAACCCATCTCCATCATCTTGCCATCGGCTCCCCTTTCCCTGCCTGTGCCTCTTCCGTGTCCCTGACCTCAGTAGGTGGCACCACCATTTGATCCCTCATACCCGTCCCCTGATCCTATATATCAGCAAGAAACCTCCACTCCTAAATATCTCCTGAGGTCACCCATTTTTACCTCGGAACCCTGGGTCACCACCACCTTTTTCACCTGGGCGTCTATAACAGTCCCCCACCAAACTGGTTTCTCTGCTTCAGCTCTTTGCTCCAGCCAGCCCCCCTACCAAACCCAACCCTCTCCTCCCCCGCCCCCCTCCCCCCCCTCCCCCCACACACACACACAGCCACCAGGGTGGATTTTGCAAAAAAGCACATCTGAATACGCCCCTCTCCCCTGCTTACAACCATTCCCGCTGCTTCCTATGATCCTCAGGATGATGTCTGGGCGTTTCATACGGCCCACAAGGCCGCTACAATCCAACCACATCTGCCTCCCACCCCAGCACCCACAAACCTTAGGGGAAGCGAGACTTGCTTTGAACTCTCAGCCCCTTCCTGTTACTGAGTGACTTTTGTCAAGCCACAGTTGCCGTGGCCTTTGGCTTTCTTAACTGGGAGGGCCAGGGAGAGGATAATGCAGCAGAGAATGGGTGGAAAGCCCTGGGTACAGACTCCGGAGGGAGTCAGCCCACAACGAGCTGTAACTGACTCCTGATGCAATTATTCTTATTTCTTATTTATCGGTCCCCTCTCTTTCCCCCGAGTTCCTTCCTAAGACAGCTCGAGTTGAATCTTCCACCTCTGAACCGGGATTCTGTAGATAATTACACAACCGACACCTCCAGGCTCCTTCCTGGGGAAGCTGCGTGGAGTTGCTCCTGGGCCTGGTGAACAGGATGAGGCCAAAAACGTGTCTCTCCCTCTCTCCCCCCCCCCCTCTCTCTCTCTCTTTCCTTCGGAACGGAGGAGGAGGAGGAGGAGGAGCAGGGACCAGGGGAGGGAGAGGTCAGAACAGAGACAGACAAGGGCTGTTGCCAGTGGCGTCTTCCCTCCCCACAGGCTGGGATCATCTACTACAGCCAGGAAAAGTACTTCCGCCACGTGCAGCAGGCTGCGGCCACGGGCCTAGAAAAATTCAGCAATGACCCCGTGCTGCAGTTCTTCAAAGCCTACGGGGCCTTCAGGGAAGGTAAGGACTCGTCATCGGTGGCCTCCTGACCTGGGCACCAGCCCAGCAACTACCACGGACTCCACCCAGGTGCCCACTCCTACCCCAGTCATGACTACAGTCTTACACTCGGAGCCTAGGCCCCCAGGCCCGTCCTCAGAAGCCCGTGCCATCCGTATGCGGCTGACTGTGAGGCCTCAGAGGCCTCGCCACTGCTGCCCTGCACCTCCCTTTCCCTGCCTGGACAATGGGCGGGAGGAGAAACAACTGCACGATTATTGAACTGACCCCGAGGTTGGAAGCTGAGAGCTGATGGTGCAGGAAAAGGAGGGAAGGGTGGGGGTAGGCACCAGCAGGCATGGCACAGGAGCAGGGGGAGGTGTGGGGCCCATACAGGTGCTGACTCGGACCCTCAGAAGGACCCTGGGCTAGGGGCAGGCCTGAGCCGCCCGTGGCCAGCATCAGGGGACGAGGAGAGATACATGCAGCTGTTGGCTCTTGTGCAACTAACTATTGTAGAAATGCCCCGAAAACTGTCCCGAGGCGAACGTCTCAACCTCCCAGGGACCCCTCGCGTACTCACAGGCACGCCCTGGCAGTCTGGACCGTGGTGCCAGCAGCCTTTTCCAGGAGCTTCCAGTCTTCAGGGACCTCAGGCCATTGGGGACCTTTTGTACCAGTTAGTCCTCTGATCCCGGGGAAAGCCAGGCGCTGCCAAGCCTCAGGTCAGCCCTAATGAGGATCCCCGTGTGCTTGCCATGGAGCCTTCTGCCCTCTGGGCCCGGAGCCCAAAGATTAGCCACGTGGTGTCTCTCTCTCTCTCTCTCTCTCTCTCGGCAGAGCACATCCAGGATGCCATCAGCAGCCTGGAGAGCCTCCGGAACCATCCAGACGTGTCCCTGTGCTCCATCATGGCCCTCATCTGTGCTCACAAGTGCTGCAAAACCATCGGTGAGTGCAGCTGTGCCCCGCCGGGCCTGGCCCCGCTCCGGGAGGAAGGACATGCCCTGGTGGCCGCAGGTTCTGTTGGCCTGGGAGGAGTGTCTGCTGTCCCCCTTCCCTGCAAAGGCCTCAAAGAAGACCCTGTGCCCAGGCCCTACGGAGAGGGAGCCGTGGGCAGAGAGCATAACAGTGCGAGGGGCCCTCCATCCAGACCCCAAGAGATGGGGAGACACCTCGCTTTCCTTCACCAAGATGTAGTCAGGAAAAATCAAACTGATACAAATAATTCCATTCCCCCGGCGAGGTTCCGAGAGACCACAAACGACTATTTCCCCTCCCAGAATGAACGGTGCGCCTGAGGTGAGGGAGTCGGGTTTGGTCCGTCTGCTCAGCGTAGTGCTGGGCACGGAGGAGAGAAGACAGCAAGCCCAGGTCCAGGCCCGGGCGACTCCCGGGGCACCGCGGGGCCAGTGTGCCTTGTGTCCAGCCCCGGGCTGGTGTGTCATTGGCTCCATGTGAGCCCCAGAGCTTCCAGAGGCAGCCACCAGGATCCCTCAGTGCCCCCGCTTGGGACCAGGCACACCCCCTCTTCCTCCTCTCTCCTCTTCCCCTTCCTCCTCTCTCGGATTCACAGACCAAGAAGCCATTCAGGAGCTGGAGAGCAGCCTGAAGGAAATGCGCAAGACGGCCAGCTGGATTGCTCTGTACTACGCCGGCCTCTTCCTCTGGCTCATGGGCCGCCACGACAAGGCCAAGGAGTACATCGACCGCATGCTGCAGCTGTCCAACAGCGCCAGAGAGGTACCCGCCGCGGGCATCCTTCACCAGGGCAACGAGAAGGCAGCATCCCAACACAGCACAGTGGAGTGGACATGATTCCCACGGACGGCCATGGGGTCGGGGGAGGGCCCCAGCCCGGCACTGCCAAGACCCTGGGTCCCCAAGTGACCCCACCCAGGTTGCCTCAGGTCTCAGTCCGGTACAAGCTGGCATTTGTCCAGAGTCCCATCTGCAGATGGGTGTCCCGTGGTCTGCACTATGTTCTGAAAATCTTGAATTCATTGCTGACGTTTAGAAATCAGAAGATTTTTGCCTAAAAGTCCAGATGTCGTGGGGTTTTTTTTTTAAACTAGAGGAACCAGCTGCCCTGGGCCTGCGTGTCCTCCTGGCGGTGATCTGCTGGGTAGCAGGGGCCGCTCAGACACCAGAGCCGTCCCAGGCACAGAGCGGCACTGAAAGCAGACCTTGCGGCCTCAGCATTCTCAGCAGAGGAGATATCGCCCCCTATCGGCTGGAAAGTGATTCTGGGAGGAGAGGGTGAAAAGATGGGCTGTGTATAAAACACTGGTGTACGCACAGCACGTATCACAGTGTATCTGTGATATTAAAATGTCTTGGAGCGGGAGGGAATGACTGGGGGGGGGGTGAGGGAGGAGGGAATGCAGTAATGGAAGAGTTGAGAAACACCGGTCTGGGCCACGAGGGAGACTCCAGGGCGGGCCCTCCCTAGGGGTCCTCTGATCCTCCTGTCCTCCCTGCCCATCCCCTCTGCCAGGAGAGGCTGGGTGAAGGCTGGAGCAGGGCGGGCAAGGCCGGTGAGCTCACACTGGCTCCCGCTCGCCTGCTCGGAGGGCATGCCGGCTAAGGTGCAGAGAGCAGGAGCGGCCCCATGTTGGCCTCCGGAGCACAGTGTAAACTAAGCAGACACTGACAGGAGGGGTGAGAGTGCCTCAGCGAGAGAGCTGGGGGGTCCGGGGAGGGCCCAACACCAGCCCGGAAGGTCAAGGAAAGCCGAGACTGAGTTTTGTTTTGTTTTTAAAAATATATTTTATTGATTTTTTACAGAGAGGAAGGGAAAGGGATAGAGAGTTAGAAACATCGATGAAAGAGAATCATCGATCAGCTGCCTCCTGCACACCCACCACCAGGATGTGCCCGCAACCAAGGTACATGCCCTTGACCAGAATCGAACCTGGGACCTCCCTTCAGTCCGCAGGCCGACGCTCTATCCACTGAGCCAAACCAGCCAGGGTTAGACTGCGTCTTAAAGACTAGTGGTAGTTAACCAGGGGAGATGTTTTGGTTTGGGGGACATGTGCTGAGCAGGGCGTTGCAGGTAAGGGGACAGTAGGGACAAAGGAAGGCCTGGCCGTGAGAGAGAGCAGGGCCGCCCCGGGATCCACGTGCCCTTGTGCCCGGCAGGACCGCGGGTGTGCGGTGACGCCCGGTGGGACGGGAGGTAGGAGGCACGGGCTGGCCCCAGGCTCTGCAGGACCAGGGACCTCATCTCTCCTCCTCTTCTCACCCCAGGGCTACGTGCTGCGAGGCTGGGTGGACCTCACCTCAGACAAGCCCCACACCGTGAAGAAATCTATCAAGTACCTGGAGCAAGGC